GCAAGGTCAGATGAGTCTGGGCATTTAAAACCTTTGAGATTGACATCACCTGGTCTTCCCAGACGATGATTGAGAACAATCCATGACGCTGGCAGGTCTCAGCTTGGCAAAGGGGGGCAGTGCATGCTATTAACTCTGCAGGGGGCCCAAAACTTTTGCAGACGCCATTTTTTTGCTTTCTGTTATTTTGAAAGTGTAAATGATGGAAATAAAATCTAACTTTTGTTGACATATTATAAGAATGTCTAATCTGTAATTTGATGCTTTTTGGAGATTTTTCCATCTTTCCTTGGCTTCTTTATGCACATTAATACAAATTTTTAGCTGGGGTGCCCAAACTTTCGATCCCCACTGTATATATATATATATATATATATACATATACATATACATGATTTTGCGCACCCGTGCCACTCTGTACCAGTATTTCTGCTATAGGGTGATCTGGAAGTGGTTAAGAAATGTGGCACCACAGAATGATAAACGTACACAATATAAAGTACCAGATAAATCAAACAACATTCAATATTGATAAATTGTGATAAGCAAAATAACACACAAATAATAGCGCAATCCTAAATTAAATCAATAAACTAAATTGCACAAATATATATAACCACCACCAAATATGTGCAAATTAATAGTGCAATAACATAAATAGGGGGTCTCGATATAGTCCATTCAAAAAAGTCCATATATCAATGATCCTCAATCAATGAAGTAATGATATCCTCCTTCATCAAATATGATATTCAGTGCTCAAAACACCCCATCAAATTGCACACTTACCATGTGCTAGTAATTAACCAGCATGTTAGTATATATCCAGCACTATAGTGACACTGTACTACTTGTGGGGGGTGATTAATTTTTTTTTTTTTTACACTGATTGCTTTTACACCCATAAAGGCTGTAAAAGCAATAATTTCTCCTTCTCTCTGACTGCATTCTTGCAGCCATTGAGAAATACTGTGTGAGCTGTGATTGGTCACAGCTTGTCACATGGTACAAGGCTCTTGTGAATAGCCTTTTACCATGTGATCTCTGTGATCATTCACAGATTTCACACGTAGTAAGAAATGATGTCAGAAGAGACATCTTGCTTACTACTCTTCATGTGATCATTGATTGGCCAATCAGTGATCAGATGATCAGGACCTCACACAGAGGTCCCGTACAATGGTCAGTGTTCTGATGCTCCCAGGGAGCGCACATAAGCAGGGAAGTGGGGAGGATGTTTATAAATGGCCACCCGCCCCTGCACTGCTCCTGTCCAGCCATTTTATATACATGGGCCGGACGGGAAGTGGTTAAAATAAGCTTTATGAAAACTATAACAACAATTTTTGCCCATGTTTTTACCCATAACAGCTTCAACTCTTCTTGAAAAATATCCATCAAGGATTAAGCTTCATACTGATTTTCCATTAAACCCCCAACAGTAAAATCAGTCTGTATATGCAGTAAAGCATGCTTGTTATGCTCACTGTGGAAAATAAGGGGTTGATCCTCTGCATTGTGTACAAAAGCCTGTTTGATCTTCTCTTCTCTGTTCCCCCCTTTTTTCAAGCGACCACCCCTTATCTCCAGACTGAGCCATAGACATGCACATGGTTTAGTGTGCATTGCTAGAGAGTTTTTTTTTTCTTGGGAGAGTGCATGTGATCAGCACAGGGCCAACCAGTGCTGTCCAGACAGAGGTCAAGGGATTTGCACCCTCCTAGATCAGAAAGAAAACTCCTCCTGCAAGCTTTAGCTAGTGCTGGCCTGGACATAGATAGAAGTCGCAAGACTGCTCTAACTTCTGAGGATAAAAGGTATTTAGCAGTTTATATTTCCTAACATAATTGCACTTCCATGTTCAGTGTACCATGGGAGACCATATATAGTGGATGCAGGGTCCGGGGTTTCGTAACACTTCAAAAATGATTATAGTAGCCTTGGTACAGCAGACAGGTTTGGTGGACCAAAAAATGCAAAACTAATGCAAAGAGCAGATTCTTGTGGGATTTGTGGGAACCTCAACTTTCCCATACTGCTGAGAATAGGCTGAGTGAAGTCAGTGCAACCCCCCCCCCCCCCCCCCCATCAAGCAGGCATGCTCGAGTGTAAGGTATTTTTTCCTTTTTTTTTTTTTCTCCCATTTTTTTTTTTTAGCATTAACGGAGCATTTTTTTATTGAAAAGGTATGGGCTAGGAAATAAGGAAACCTTGTAATTTTGTACATAGCTGGGGGTTTTCCTGTTATTGTCTTCATCTAATACATACAAATTTACATGTTTAAGATTTACAGATATAGTTTCCTAAGTACATGACTGCTACAAGAGTACTGCTTATTGAAAAGATATTTGACTAGACATTTGAACCTGGTGGGAAATGTGGCTGCTACTAGACAATTAACAATAGCAAGATTATAAAAAGATTTCTTGGCAGGAACCAGTCGTCTGATTACAGCAATAAAAATAATTTTCATTCTATTCATTGGAATAGTTTTGTGTATATATAATATATAATTATGCAGTTCTGTAATAATTCAGAAAGAAATTATATCCTTGCGCCACCCCTATCGTGGTATGCAGGAAGTAAGTTAGTCGAGAACAGCACAGTGTGAGTGCCAAAAGTCTTCTCCAGACACCTTCTGAAAGCAATGCCTAAAGGGAACCTGCTCATTCAGAGCAAGGGTAACAGGTTAAAGTGATTGTAAACCTATTTTTTTTTGTAAAAATAACAAACATGTCATATTTATCTGCTCTGTGCAATGGTTTTACACAGAGCAGCCCTGATCCTCCTCTTCTGGGGTCCCCCGCAGACTCTCCTGGCACCTCTCCCCTGTTGAATGCCCCCAAAGAAAACCGCTATTTTCCTCTTGCAGCCACTGAAAATGGAGGGCATCTGTTCCTTGACATGCCACCCCCGCCACCCACCCTATTCAGGTCCTGCTTCCCCCAGGCTCCTGTGTACGCCTGTGTACTGTGTACTCCCCTGGCCCTTCTCTGCCGGCTTCTTTTTTGCTTCTCCTGTCAGCTGCTGCTGGGGATGCTTCCAGGATGGAGAGTGAAGAAGGGGCCAACAAATGTCATATTGGCCCGTTCCTTTTCTGAAAGGACAGAGTCAGTGATCGGTACTGGTTACTGACTCTGTCCATTCATAACCAATATACTTCAGTTTGTGAATGAATGTAGAGAGCTATTCCTGTCCATTCATTCTGTGCTGCTGAGGCTACAGAGATGGAGATTGAATGCTGTGTCCTCAATCTCCTTTCTCTGTCTCAAAGATGAAACATCAGAGGTCTGTTTACACCCCTAATATTTCACCACAGCCCCCCACCAGGCTTTAAAAAAAATTTAAAAAAATAATTTTTAAAAAATTGTAAAAAAAATAAAATGGTAAACCAATAACAAAAAAACAAAAATAAAAAACTACTGACACCAGTGGGGGAACTACCAGGGTCGTAAAGGTTGCACTTGTGACTTGTGGGAGTGCCACCGGAAGGCAGAAAGGGGGCCCAATGCAGAACATGAGTGGGGCCCGCTGCAGAACCCTAAAAAAGAGCCCTGCGATAGGAGGAAAGGGCCCCAGAATCAGTGGTAAGGGCTCCAGCCGGGGAGCCCTTCATGGTTTCTTGCACTGGATCCTGTAGTTACACCTCTGGAACTAACCATCCTATCCTTTACCACCAAGGAAATTTCCATATTAGCTCTGTTTGATCTGCAGTGCAATGGTGCTGCAATAACTGTTATCAGTTATGACTAGGGATGAGCTCAGACATCCAAAAAAGCTGCATACATCACCCTAGTGATGCTAAATGTAGACGATTGGCTTTGGTTAATCTCCTCCCATAAGCCACGCCCCTCTAAAGCGTTTAATCCTCCCACTGGCTTAAGCGTAGAGGACCATCACTAGGCTGACATGTGCGACTCCTTTCTCATTTGTCAGGTGTTAGTGTCATTGGGCCTGGTGGGCTCAGCTTGGAGCGGCAGCATCATGCTTATACTTTTGGCTGTGCTTTCTTTACAGGGTTATAGGGATGAACCCAGGTGTATTTGGATCATACTCTGTACCCACCTGAATAAGCCCAACAGAAAGCTGTCAGTGTACTGGGCCAATTATAAGCAGCCAGGCCCAACAGTTGCTTATATACACACCCCTTGTATATGTGTGGCTACAGGACAGGGAATGCCGCAGTCACAGATGATTGACGCAATACTAGTGACAGCTTTCTGGCAGGCTTGCTCAGGTGGGTTTAGACTAAGATTAAAACATACTCATCCATAGTTATGACACCAGCCATTTGATGGCTTGACAGTTCAGTTGAGAGCACAAGCAGCTGTGACAGTTATTATTCCTGGCATGCCTTGAATGTAACTGTTTTTGGGAAGCAGTTAAATTTAGACATGTGCTGTTAGTTTTGTTCCGAATTGAAATTTGGACTAATTTTGTATCATTCTGAAATTCGGATGTATTTGAATTTCTGAATACAACTGTAAGGAAATTTAACTAATTCAAATGAAACCTTAACAAAATTCATTTGTTTCATTTGAATCCGAATAAAATGATTCGAATTCATTCAATAATAGCTGGTTGCTAAGGAACTGGTCTGGTATGGATTAAGGGGAACCCCACCATAAATTTTCAAAAAAATCAGCGTGGGGCCCCTGCCAAATCCATACCAGACACTTCTCCATGCATGCAGCCCAGCAGGTCAGGAAAGGGGGGAATGAGCAAGCAGCCCCCTCTCCTGGACCATACCAGGCCACATGCCCTTAACATGAGGGGGATGCTTTGGAGCAGGGGGTTCCCCCCCCCCAAAGCACCTTGTTCCCATGTTGATGGGGACAAACGTCTCTTCCCCACAACCCCGAGCTGTGGTTCTGAGAGTCTGTGGGCGGGGTCTTATTAGAATCTGGAAGCCTCCTTTAACCCCCCTGGCGGTATTCCGGAGTGTAGCTCGGGGTTAACTTTCAGTACCAGAAGCGGTAACCCCGAGCTACACTCGGGATTACCCTGCAGCGTTGCTCAGGGATTCCCTCCAACACTTACCTTGTCCTTTGCTCCGGCGATGTCCCCCCTGCAGTGTCTCCGGCCATCTCCTTTGGCCGATGGAACCGGCAGGAAATTAAAAAATTTAAAAATGTGACATTCACTCAATACACTAAAATCACATAGTATAATATTATTGTATCAAACCATTTCACATACATTTTGTCCCTACTGCTTTGTCCTGTGCCCTGCCTGCATTTTTACTGTTCTTTCTGCCTGGAAACTGAGAAAAGTCCATGGCGTCCAAAAAGCATCCCTTTTAGGTCAAAAGCAGTTTTAGACCAGCTAGAGAACAGCGATAGTAAATTAGAACCACTTGCAGAATTGAGTGATAATGATTTGTGGGGAAATTCGTCAACAGACACTGAAAACAATTTTGCGACTGAGCTCAGTAATGTGCGAACTTGGCGCTATATTTCAAATTTCACTGTTTTTGGTTTGATTATATTATTGAATTAAATGTATTATTATATTATTATTTTTTGATTATTTATTATATTATAATTTATGATTTCGTGTTTCAAATTTTATCATACCTGGGATGTTTACTAGACTCTTGTTCGGACAGATTTCAGTGAGTTCTTCCTAAGAATTACAGGCCTACAATAAAAAAACAACATATTTTCATGCAAAAAAAGGTACCGCTTTGAACACAGAAATACTGACATAATCAGACCACTAGGGAGGTTAACAAGGGTGCCCCCATATCCCGCCCCCCTTGTGATTTAATATGGGGTACACTGTACCTCTACTCATTCACCAAAAAAGTGTAGAAAAAGACATTTTTGGCAAATCCCCCTAAAGTAAATCCTATGTCAAGCCACCGGCCCGAAAAAAAAAAAACTGGTCCGCTCTTGTCGCTTGTGTCCCAGCGTTTGACAGCTTCAGTTCCCACCAACAGTAAATAAACAAAGGGACATGGTCACCCTCTAACAGGTGACTCCACCCCTTTGTTTACATACTATTGGAACCAAGCTGTCAGTCAGCCAGTGTCTAGAGATGCTAAATAAACAAAGGGGTGGGGCCACCCACTGTCACTGGTGACCACATTTCTTTGTTTATTTACTTTTGGTGGAAACTGGAGCTGTCAGATGCCGGGAGGCAAGCCGAAGCATATGGTATGGATTGGGGGGGCTCCCACAGTGTCGGTTTATATTCCGCTGTCAGCAGGAATCCCGCTGGCAACAGATGAGCCATGGATGTTAAGAACATGGGGATCGGGAGGCCCTCCCACTCCTTAACAATAAGTTATTCTTCCTAATGAATTTGAATGGAATGGAGCCAAGTTAAAAGCTTTCCATGCACCTCCCTATGTGACAGCACTTGGGCTTGGCACTTGCCACAGCCCAGCACTGTATCATGATAGAAAGGAATAAGTTACATGCTACTTCATCCCAGGAAATATCAAGTATTACACTTGACTCTGTCAGCTGAACAGAAGTTCGGATGAGCACCATGAAGGTATATATGAACAGCATACTTAGTGGGCAATTAAGCAGCCCTGTTCCACTGTCTTTAATCCGGCACTGGCAAAATTGTTTAAAACTGAAATGGACACATATAAGAAGATACTTTCCTAGAGAAGCTCTATAAAGGTCCACCCATGAGGGTACTGTAAGGGAAAATCTATTTTTATATGTCCATACGTTATGAAAGTGATATTTATGTAGTCCTTATCTATAACTCTCAGAAATGATTTCAGAAGTTTCCAAAAATAACAATTCAGCATTGAGTTACTGTTACTTGGAAAAATACAGTACCAGCTAAATAGTGCACCATTTGAAGATAAAGTGATCTCTTAATTAAATAGGTAAAGTCCCACAAGAAAGAAGAGGAAACCATCTAGTGAAATAAAATAACTAAGCACTAAGATAAAAACATAAAAGATGAAGAGAGGGTGAAAGAGAGAGAGAGAAAAAGATGTCTTCTCTCTCCTGCTATTCCTTATTAACTCTCCGACTCTGACAGCCTAATTACCTCAGAAGCCTCGTGCTCTGAATAAATAAATATGCAAGTGGCTTCTTAGAGGTGGAGACATGGGAGATATAGCCACCTAGGCAGCAGACAGGGAGAACAGTTCATTCCGAAATTGCATCCACACAGGTTTATCATATCCAACTTAATGAGCTGTTTTCAAAGTACGCAAGTCACTGTACTGAAAGGTTTTCCTTCTGTTAAAGAAGTTTTTAGCTTTCAAGAGTGCACATTTACACAAACTTAGCTTTGTCAGAAGTTCTCGTGCTTTATAACAGACTGTTAACCATCTCATCTGCTGAGTTCCAAGTCTGACCTTCATGTACTACAACTTAAGTTGCCAAATAATATACCAAAAATAAAAACCATTGCAGCCAAGTGATTTCTTATTTGCTTCTTTACCTAGACTTGATTAAATGCATCTGTATCTACACATTCGGACAGCCATTGGGTGGATCTGTATCTATGGTCTCCTCCTCCCATGCCCGCCTCCAGGACTTCTCCAGGGTGTCACCCATCCTCTGGAACTCCCTGCCCCAACCCATCAGATTATCACCTACTCTCCTCTCCTTTAGGCGCACCCTGAAAACCCATCTCTTCAGGGAAGCCTACCCCACCCCCTGCTAACCTGCCGACCTCCTCCACTCTTCCTACCACTCCATCCCCCACAGCTATCTCCTCCTGTACCACTATCCCCTCCCTCCTAGATTGTCAGCTCGAAAGGGCAGGGCCCTTGATCCCATCATGTTTTGCATTGTTTTGGTATTGTTCTGTCACATATTCTGTCCCCCTTTGTAATGTACAGCGCTAAGCGAACCATTGGCGCTTTATAAATACTGTATAATAATAATATCTGTACCTGGTAGCAGAGTCTGACATGATGGGGAAAGCCTTTCTTACACCTCTGATCTGGGGCCCCTGGTACTGTAGACAGGAAGAGCAGGAGTACAACAGAGTGGCATGAGGTCCTGAAAGTCTTGCCAACATCAGAGCAGGTGTCCACGCTGGGCAGGTGAAGTCGTTATAAGGCTTCAGTAAGCAGGCAGATGGTAGGCAGCAGACTGAGGCAGGCTGGTACTGGTGACATGGGGCAGAGAAGATTACTGGTAGCAGACTGTAGGTCAGCTGGAAGAGCAGGATGGTAAGCAGGTACCGGTGATGGCAGACAGAGTAGCAGAGTCAGGCAGGCCAGATCAAACACAGATATGATAGACCAGGTACAGGGCACAGGCAGGAGCATGGTCAGGAAACAAGCAGGGTCTGGAACCGATCAGTGAAGCGGGAGCCAATGAAACAGACAAAAGCCGAGGTCAGAGGACAAGCTAAGGTCAGTATTAGCCTGTGCACAGCAATCTGTCCAGAGGAACGATCTTGTCTATTGGCATGCCCTTCCTGACAATCTGTCAGCTATGCATCACTTGACCAATACTTTTGAAATGATAGTCTGCAGCATCCCTATCTTACTTATGTTTTTCACCTGCAAAAGATGTGCCTTGATCATATAGTTTCATGGTCTCTTTTTTTGCTCTATATTCACAGCCTATAGTAGCTTAAATCTTCACATTCCTATGGCAGCAATTTTTGTTTGTGTTCAAATATGTGGCATGCAGCATGGCGCTGAGGAGCTGAACAGGTTAATTCATGGCCTCTGTAGTCTAAGATCTGACACTTCCTGTGAAGAAACTTTACATCCTACAATCCCTGGGTCTCTCAGTCTAGTGTTCTGCAGGGGAGAGATACACAGTAATGAGCTCTGACGCAGACAAAAACAAGCAGAGCAATTAACAGAGAAATCAACAAGCAGTCTTTCATCACGTTTGTGATGCAGTACAGAGGAAATAGCTAAACATGGATTGGATGCTGGGTGATCTGGAATAAGACGTTACCTGTCCCTTACAAGGATAAGCAAATAAAAAGGGACTATAACTACACTAATAGCTAATTAAGAAAAAGACATGTAAAAGTGTACAATGTCATTACTGACAGCTGAAAAACACATTCTGAAGTGAGTGGAAGTGACACATTTCAGTATAAATTTTCATCACACTTGTGTGTTGTATTTAAGACGTTTATTGGAGTTCTAAGTTCACATGTGATAAAGAAACCCAACGCATTTCAGGGGAGAGATGCATCCCTCTTTATCAGGGCTCATGTACAGGTAATACAATAAAAAACAACTAATATCTGATGAATACAATGTGCAATAATAAAAAAAGTATATGGATTACTTATATAAAAGATGTTTTTATTGTTTTTTCTATACACTAGCTCTGATTAAGGGGGAGGCATCTCTTTCATCAAAAGAGTTGGCTTTCCTTATATGAACTTAGAACCCCAACAAACTTCCTGAATACAACCACTAATGTGATGAAAATGTATACTTTACATTACTGCACCTTTACACACATTCTAGATTACCCTGTGGAGTGTCTTACTGTCGTTTTCAGAGGCAGCAGCCTAAGGGGTCAGTTCATGAAAGGTTACCGCATGCGATATGAAGGTCATGCGACTCATTTTTTTTCATAAATATCACATGAGATAATAAAAGAGTCAATTCATCAAAGTAAAATATGGAATGTGAGGTAAATATCGCACATTTGTTAAAATAGTGCGATAAATATCACAAAAAAATGAGCTAAATCAGGGCTTAACATTTCAAGTCCTGAGCTACTAGCCAGGCCTTAGTTACTCGCCTCCAACAAACACACACAAACAAACAGAGACACCTGTACACACACACAGACATGTACATACACACACACATTGACACACAGAAACATGTACACACACGCACAGAGACACATGTACACACACACACATACAGACACATGTATACACACACAGGCACGTACAGACACGCATACACACAGATACATGTACATACACAGAAATACACACGCACAGACACATGTACATACACACACACATGTACATACATACACAGACACATGTACATACATACACAGACACATGTACACACACACATATACGTACATACACACACACACACGTACATGCACACACACACGCGTACACACACACATACATGTACATACACGCAGACACGTACAATTGTACATGCATACACAGACACACACAAACACACACACATGTACACATACACACCCCATAAAAAGTTGCAGTACTTCGTTGTTCACTCACAGAGCCGAGTACTGCACTCTGGGGGGAGGCAGAGAGCACAGCACACACTCTTTGCTTTGCTTTCACTGCGCTCAGCTATTGAGCAGCCTGACGGCTCCCAGTGCCAATGACAGATCCAGCCTGAGCTCTGAGCCTGCTCAGCAAGATGGCCCTGGGGGACACACTCGCCCCCACCATAATTTCCATTCGCCATTGGCAAGCAGGCGAGTGGAAATTTCATGCCCTGAGCTAAATCATTAAAGTCAATTAATTAAAAAACACACACATTCATTATCACCAGGTGTCTGCTGGCTATATTTTAGAAATGTACAAAAATGTAATAAAAATTAGAGGAACTCTGCACTGGCTAGAAAGTGAAAAGTATACAATATATTAGTGTAAAAAGTCATGAGTCATGAGACTCCCTGAAGGACAAAGTAGCCCATACCACTTCCATTTGATACCAGCATTGTCATACACATTGAACAAAAAAAAATCTGGAATATTAGTCCTCCTTCAAGGATGGAGACAGTCTTGTGGAGTTGGACTGTACTCTTAGACATACAATTGCAGTTAAGTACAGAACGCAGCCCCTTTGCTCATTCTACCTCAATGGCTTCATTTTTTTAATATAAGTATTTTGAAACACAGTATTTTGTAATTAAACCCATGTCCTTGCCTGTATGTATAACACATGCATGTTCTATTTCAGTGCGATCCGTATTCACTGTACCTGGGCTGAGCCTTAAACCAGAAATTCGAGATATGTTAATTCCCAAACAGAAAGTATCCAAACCAGCTACACATCACAAACCATGGTGAACATTACAGAGGTGAGATATTGCTATATAAGTCTATATAATAAAACAACTGAAGCACAACATCAACAGAAATTGATTTACTAAAGGAAAAGTGAAAATGAAAGACAGGATTTTTATCTGTACATCAATAAGTATTCAAAGTGAATATATTTTCACCCTATTTATTAAGCTAAATGGACATTCAATTTGCAAAGTGAATAGCCTGCAATTCAACCTTAGTGACTGAGATTTAAAGTCAAATTGCAGTTTAATACACATGTGAACAGATATATTGAGGGTTTTTACATATGTATAAATGTCTAAATGTGAAATTTGCTATAAAGTAGTCCAAGAGCTAACTCAAAATCCAAACAAGCCGTAGATAAGGACCAATGCTATCTGTGTGAGCAGTGGTCTCACCTTCAGTGCGTCAACACGTTCCCCTGCTGAGCCAGAGCTAGAGTTCTCCAATCAGCAGGGAGTGTGCACTTTGCTGATTGGTCAGCCATAAGTTTGACTTAGCAGGGGTGTGTCAGACTGCAGAAAAGAGACCACTGCTCTCATCAGACCTTCCATGCAGCCTGCTGCCTGTGCCTTGGACTGGTGTTGGAAGTGTTTTACAGCAACTTTCACAGCAGGACATTTACACCTCTTTTTCACCACCCTTGTTTTATCTGTTTACTTTTCTAGTATATATAGTATACAGTATGTTTTTTTATAATGTTGTCCATGAGACTAGAGTTAACTGTTTTACTATGAGTAGGTTCAGAACAGATTCAGTACAGTCAAAACAAGTTAGAAACTAGCACCTTTGAAAATGAAGGCAAGATGGTAGGTGCATCTCAGGGGTACTGAATTAAAATTCACGGAGGTCCGGTTGACAACATTTTCTTTCTGAAGAGGTCAGAATCCCATTTTTCTTCTATGACTCAGGTCCTTCACATCACAGCCCACTTTACATTGGTGTCCTCAGTCCCCCTCTCTCATCACAACCCCCCTTACATCACAACAGAGCCCCCTCAACATTACAGCCCCCCTTGCAATCACAGACCCCCCTTACATCACGGTCCCTCCTTACATTTTAATCCCCCTTGCAATCACAGCCCTCTTCCTCACATCACAGCCCCCCCTCACATCACCCTCCCCCATATCACCGCTCCCCCCTCACATTACAGACCCCCATATCACAGCTTCCCCCGCATATCACAACCCCAATCTTACAGTTCCCCACTCTCATATCACAGCCCCCAATCTTACAGTTCCCCCCTCACATCACAGCCCCTTTATCACATCACAGCCCCCTTTATCACATCACAGCCCCCCATATCACATCTTCCCCCTTATCACATCACATCTCCCCCTTCTCATATCACAGTCCCCCCATATCACATCACAGCTCCCCCCTTCTCACATCACACCCCCCCATGTCACATCACAGCCCCCCCCATATCACATCTCCCCCTTCTCACTTCACAGCCCCCATGTCACATCCCAGCCCCTCAGATCATAGCTTCCCCCTTTCACATCACAACTCCCCCTGTCACAGCCCCCCCATATCACAGCTCCCCCCTCTCACAACCCCCCTCACGTCCCCCCATATCACAGCTTTCTCTGCTCACAACCCCCCATTTCACAGATTCCCCCCCCCCTCCTCTCATTTCACTTCAGGTTGGACTCCTCTTCTGAATACACTCACTTGCCTCCACCACCAAACTTATTGCATGGAGGAGGGAGAAAGGGCATGGAAGGTCTGCACTGAGGGTGGGAGCTGCCCAACTCTTCCTGTTAAAAAGCGATTGACCCACTTGTAAATATGAAAGGTTGGGCAGCTCCCGCTCCCCCTGTAGACCTGCAGTATCTCCCGCCCTCCTCCATGCTGTGAGTTTGGTGACAGGTGATTACATTCAAAAGAGGAATCCACCCTGTCATTCCTCCCACTCTCTACAATGCTGTGATTTTTCGCAGCTGCAAGAGGAGAGGATCCACCTAGGCTGCTAAATGGTGCGGCCACGGTCCGGTCAGAACTGTCACTTGGGCCACCATTTAGTGTCACCTGGTGAATCTGTTTACCTTTCAATTATACTGCAACTGGGCTTTAAAATAGCTGGAGGAGGCTTTATTTTTACAGCTGCTTGAACAGAGTTAACTTGCTGCAGCTTAAAAACTTAAAGCTAGAAATCATTGGTGATATAGGAAACTTCAGTTTGTCACAGGACAGTGACTACTAAAGCATACTGTATGTATATTAACTACAATAAATACCTACATTTCAGCTATTCAAATAGTTTGGTTATTAAGAAAAATTTCATTAAGGGAAAATGTTATTTAAAATATGGATATTTCACTGAAATACTTAATTGGATCAAAATATATTATATATTTTATCTTCTCCCAAACCGTCACTAAGTGTGCCTGAAAGAATTGGGAAATGTGAATAAAAGTCTCATCAAGGTGTCGTGATTTTTTTTAACATCCACACCTTTTAGTAAAGTTAACACATGCAGAAAGTACATGATTTAAGTTAAGTAACTTTCTCACAGACTATGGAAAATATAATTTTTTGTTGTTTTTCTTTATAATATTGGCACGTTTTATAAACATGTGATTTATGGTAGAATAAATTAACTTCTCAGTAAAAATATTGTGACATGTTCTGGCATATTTGAGAACAATTTATAATTGCTGAGATAGAATATGCTAGAAAATAAAAAGGAGTGAGAGGAGTCTATTTATAACGGAGGTATAGCTGAGTGCACCACTTTTTTTGCTTCCTGTTTTTACTATTTTTTTTTTTATTTTTTTACCATTTTTGGTTGGCCCTTTTTTTCAATTTTCTTTTTTTTTTGCAGTATCTTATTATAATACTTCACATGTAAAAATAATATAAACAAAAATAAATAATAAAAATAACCAAAAAGTTGACAGTGGTGAATATCTTTTGCATCATTTACAAATCAGGTGGGAAACAACTGGTGAACAGGCTCCTTAAAAGTGTTATACACAGATTTATTTAGCAAATTTCAGTACGCCAATCCTTGATAAATTTGGTCCAGAGTTTTGTGCTAGAATGTTATTTAGCCCAAAGAAAAGGCTTAATTTTACATATTCTAAAAGCTACTTCACAAAAATGACAAGAATGGGAACTTTCTATTAACTAATTTTCTAACTTTTTCAATTTTGCAGCCTTCACGGACATCATGTTGCAATCTCTGAACACAGCTGTTTGAATGTATTAGCCTATTTCATCCCTACTTTTCACTTCTTCCCCTCCCTGCTGCCTTCAGATCAGAGAAGCCATCTTGAAAAACCCAGGAGTCTTGCACCTTATAAACCCCGCTTTAATCAGTTCTAGATAGCAGGGTCAGTTAAGCGGAAACCTGTACTGAGACTGGAAACTGTCATTTGTCGCTAAGAATGTATTAAAGCCAGAGAAAAACAGGAAATTCATATTTTTAGCAATGAAGCCCATATTTTTCAGTACAGGTTTCCAATAAGCATTAAGCTGTTCTGCGAATGCTTTGCTACTCTTCTACATCAGGGATTTTATGGGAATTTTCACAATAAATAATGTTTTTCAGTAGTACTTATTTCTCATGAAAGCAGAACAGCAATATTTATCTCCACAAATAAAGTAGAGGATTCTACAAGGTGGGTATCTTCTATCAGATCCAAACAGCTTCCTTCCTAGCAATCCCAGTGTTTGAAACCACACAGGGATGTGGCTTTGAGAAATAGTGTGGCTTGGATCAGATATGAGCATAGGGTTCAAATTATAAGGCAATGTATGGTCCAGTAGCAGGATCTGGGGGTGCAGTAAAAAAAAAGTCGGAGGGCATAATGTCAACACTGTGTGTGAGTCACTGACAGTCTGACACACAGTGTAACAATCTGGGAAACATTATTATGTATTAGGTTGTCATTAGATTAGAGTGATTAAACAGAACATGTGCCCCCTTATATCAGATGTCCCTATCAGAATCCCCCTTTACATCAGGAGTCCTCATCAAAGACCTTCTTTACATCATTTTCCCATCAGAGTGCACCATCACATCAGGTGTCCCCTTAAATCAGTATCCTCATCAGAGTCCCCCCTTACATCAGTTGTTTGCCTCAGTGTCCGCCCTTACTTCAGGTATCCCCATCAGAGTTCCCTCTTACATTAGTGTCCCTGTCAGAGTGCTCCCTTTCATCATGGTCCCCATCAGAGTGCCCCCTTAGATCAGGATCCCCATTGGAGTCCCCCCTTACATTAACTGTCCCTATCAGAGTGTTTTCTTACATATGTTCAGTTATCTCCATCAGAGTGCCCCCTTATATTAGGTAGCCGAAAGCGATTGCCCCCCATACATGCACTGTTCCCTTTCAGCGTGCCCCCTTACATCAACTGTCTGCATCATATTGACTCATAGATCAGTGAATGTACTCTGAGACCTGTGGGGGCAAAACAAAAAT